GTGATAGGTTGCCACCTGTGCAATAAGTCCATCCGTGACCTTTTCTTGCTACTAAATATTCCACGGTCAACTGTTAGTGGTATTATAACAAAATGGGAACAACAGCAACGCAGCCACACAGTCGTAGGCCACGTATAATGTCAAAGCATACAAAGTGTCAGATGCAGTGGTATAGAGCACGCTGCTACCGGACTCTAGAGCAGTGAAGACATGTTCTCTTGAGTGACGAATCATGTGATGGACATATCTGGGTTTGGCGGTTGCCAGGAGAATGATACTTGTCTGACTGCATTGTGCCAAGTGTAAAGTTTGATGGAGGGGGGATTATGGTGTGGGGTTGTCTTTCTGGGGTTGGGCTTGGCCCCTTAGTTCCAGTGAAGGGAACTCTTAAGGCATCAGCATACCAAGACATTTTGGACAATATCATGCTCCCAACTTTGTGGGAACACTTTAGGAATGGCCCCTCCAACATAACTGCGCGCCAGTGCACTAAACAAGGTCCATAAAGACATGGATGTGCAAGTTTGGGGTGGAGGAACTTGACTGGCCTGCACAGAGTCCTGACATCCACCCAATAGAACACCTTTGGGATGAATTAGAGCGGAGACTGTGAGCCAGGCCTTCTCGTCCAACATCCTTGCCTGACCTCATAAATGCGTTTCTGGAAGAATGGTCAAACATTCCCATAGACACACTCCTAAACCTTGTGGACAGCCTTCCCAGAAGAGTTGAAGCTGTTATAGCTGCAAAGGGTGGGCCATCTCAATATTGAAGCATATACCACATGCACACATCCTTTTCTCCTTGCAATCAGCTACAAATCTGACTGCTGCTTGTGAGACACGTCTTAATATTGAAAATGTAACAAATCAGGCTTTCTTTATGAGACAAATAATGTGGAGGCTGTAGTTTGTGTGTGTGTGTGAACATTCCTGTGTAGCACAAAAACAGCTAAGGTTAGAGCAGAACTAAACATTCCCTATCAACATCATTTATTTTTAATTTAACTTTCACATTTCTTCAATCACTTCCCGTGTTTTGGTCCAAGCCAATATGATGTCAAACATCCTAGGAGTCTTTATGAACATTTTTTCATTCCTCTGGAGCAATGGAGGAGGAGCTTCTCAGCTAAAGTGATATTAAAGGCAATTTTTTTTTGTTTTAAAATTACAAACATGTCATGCTTATCTGCTCTGTACATTGGTTTTGCACAAAGCAGCCCTGATCCTCCACCGCTGAGGTCCCCGCTGTCACTCCTGGCCCCTCCCTCCTGCCCCCAGAGCAAGCAGCTTACTATAGAGCCACCCTAGCAGGCTCGCTCACGAACACACAGAGCCCTACCCCTTCTACCTCCCCTCACTGGCTGTGATTGACAGCAGTGTGAGCCCATTAATTGCTTCTGCTGCTGTCTCAGCCAATGAGGAGGGAGAGTCCCCAGACAGCCGAGGCCCTTGTGCACATTACTGGATCACGATGGAGCTCAGGTTAACTATTAAGGGGGCTGCTACACACAGAAGTTTTTTTTTACCATCATGCATAGAATGCCTGAAGGTGAAAAACCTTTACAACACTTGCAGCACACCCTCCTGCTTGCATGCCTGAGCTAAGGCCAAATGGATTCCAGGAAGTAAATGCTACATGAAATTTCTTCCCTTACGCAAAATGGCTATGGCTAGAAATGCTAGCGGGGTGTTTTTTCAAAGTGATTTCTCATGCATATAAAGTATGGAGATATGAATGGATGGGTGAGTGTGCTTTAACCTCCCTAGCGGTATGATTATTTCAGAATTTTTGGTGCTGAAAGCGCGGTACCATTATTTTGCATGAAAATATGTAGTTTTTTTTTATTGTAGGTTGTAATTTTTAGGAATAACTCACTGAAATCTGTCCGAACAACAGTCTATTAAACATCCCGGGTATGATAAAATTTGAAACACGAAATCATAAATTAAAATTTAATAAATAATCCTAAAAATAATAATATAATAATAATACATTTAATTCAATAATATAATCAAACCAAAAACACTGAAATTTGAAATAGAGCGCCAAGTTCGCACATCGCTGAGCAAAGTCGCAAAATCGTCGTTTTCAGTGCCTGATGACGAATTTCCCCATGAATCATTATCACTCAATTTTGCAAGTGGTTATAATTTACTATCGCTGTTCTCTAGCTGGTCTAAAACCATTTTTGACCTACAGGGACGCTTTTTGGACGCCATGGACTTTTCTCAGTTTCTAGGCAGAAAGAACAGTCAAAATGCAGGCAGGGCACAGGACAAAGCACTAGGGACAAAATGTATGTGAAATGGGTTGAAACAGCAATGTTTTACTATGTAAAATTTGTTTGGAAAAAAATGACATTTTTTTAAATTTTCAAATTTCCAACCGCCGCCGGCACCCGTACGTCCCGATGTCACAGGGACCGGAACACAAAAGCCGGATGCCGGCATCGGCCGGAGGAGATGGACGGGGACGCTGCAGGGGACATATCGCGGGAGTGCAGGACAAGGTAAGTGCTGCAGGGACTCCCTATGCAGTGCCATATGGTAATCCCGAGTGTAGCTCGGGGTTACCGCTTTTGGTACTGACATTTTACCCCGAGCTACACTCGGGAATACCGCCAGGGAGGTTAAATATTAAAAATTAATAAAATAGCATTTCAGTTTGTGCTGCTCAGATAGTTTATTTCCTTTTTAATGTGATAATGTCTGAGAATTAGCAACACACATTTGGACATTCCTAGTTCTCACAGCAATGGAAATTTTACATTTAGTTTTATTGGGCTTAATTTACTAAAACGGGAGAGTGCAAAATCTGGTGCAGCAGTGCATGGTAGCCAATCAGCTTCTAACTTCAGCTTGTTCAATTAAGCTTTGACAAAAAAAACCTGGAAACTGATTGGTTTCTATGCAGAGCTGCATCAGATTTTGCACTTTGCAGTTTTAGTAAATCAACCGCCTATAGTCATATTAAGGTCTTAAAGGGGTTAAAGATTCACTACTAAAAGGTTTATAATGAAAAGTAGGTGACACTACAAAGCTATTTTAAGATTCCTCAAAGATAAACGAATTCCCCCATTTTTTGCACGTTTACTATAGTGCACTCAATTTGACTAGTGTATTAATTTAATTTCCAATGACACTGCAACAGAGCTAGAGTCTAAGGTCTCATGTACATGGGGCATTTGAAAAACTCTTCTAAATGATGGAAACTGACTGCTGGAAAACGAAGGTTAAAAAAAGCCAGTTTAGTCGTGGTTGCATACCGTATTTATGTGCGTTTGTGTTTAGAAGCATTTTTAAAAGATAACCTCAGGAGACCTTCCCAAATGCGCAGAATGCACTGAAAAATAGTACAAAATTAACTATTTCAGACATTTTGAGAGGATAACCTGTCTATTCTTGTTGTATTCACTATGGATCCCATCATGAGCATAATGCAGCACGTTCTACCATTTTTTCCTTCACGCAAAACCTGGAACTGACTGGTGTACCGGGTCCATTTGAATACATGGAAAACGCTTTGCATGCATTTCTGATTATGAAAAAAGGCTCTGGACAGCATCTGGATATGGAACAGTTAAAAAACGCTTCTAAACGCAAACGCTTATAAACACGGTTAACCACGTTTACATGCGTTCACAGGCGTTTAGTGTTTGAAACGCCGGTAAAATCTACGCCTGAATGCAAGTTTGGTGCGTTAAAAAAGACTACTCAACTGCCTGTAAATGACTATGTGTACATGGACACATAGGAAAACATTAGGGAGAGTTCAGTGGCTGCTGAAAAAAAAAAACGCTGAACAGCTCCTGAACGTCAGTTTAGGAGCTGCAGTGTACATGAGCCCTAAGAAATTGTTCTGCCCTGGATACTGCAGAAAATAACAAAAATAAGTATCCTATTTACTGATAGCCACCTGGAATCGGAATGCCAATACTAAGCACTGTTTCCATTATTTGGAAGATGGGAGATATTAGAGGAAAATATTGTATCATGTTATTTAAACAGAATCAGGAAGTTGCATTATGATTCAAGCATCTTACCTATTTGCTTAATTAATTTATATTGTATAGAAATATTCTATAGTGTTTTAAACACGGCCAAGAGCAAAATCCATGATTATAATGTTAAAGCGGCAGTAAACACCACTTGCTTACTTGTACCTGCAGGTAAACGTATAATCAAGCTTACCTGTAGGTGCAAGGAATATCTCCTAAATGTGCACTACTTCTGCAGTGGGTGACATCACTGCCAGACGTGCACTGCGCTCTGAAGGGACGGCATGCCGCACTCATGACTCCTGTCCGCATATGCGGGAATTATCTCATCGCAGCTCGGCCACTCAAACAGCCGGGGCCCGCGAACCTGGAAGGAAGACCAGGTGAAGATGGAAGCGGTGACGGTGCACTGCTGGAGGGTTTGTTTTAAGATAAGACTCTCAAAATGTGCAAGTATGTAATGCATACTAGCACATTATGACATTAACTTGCAAGGAGAACATTTTTATTTTTTGGAAATTTTACTACCACTTTAATTACTGCTGCAAAGTAGTTAGATTTGGTTCTAATGGTTATTCTCAAAGCTGGAAAGCAAATGAGTTTACAGTGTTAACAGATTCACTGAATTCACTGTATTCAACCAAATTCAGAATTTTTGATTTGAAGTGGAATAGGCTTCTTATACATACCTGTGCTGCAATATTTAATAAGGTTGTTTAAAAGCCATTTATTACAAACTGTACATAAAAGCAATAAACAAGAACCCAATTAAAATGCATTCAAGTCTGGGAAAATAAACATCTAGCTGGGAAGAAATATTTGTGTAGTTAAAGAAATATGTTTGCGGGCCAGAGAAACACCCTAAGCTTGTGTTTCCTGGCAATACAGTTGTAAAAGGAAATGCATAGTCCAGGCCTTGAAATTTCAACTCGCCTGCTCGCCAATGGCGTGGAAATTATGGTGGGGTGAGTGTGTCCCTCAGGGCCGTCTTGCTGAGCAGGTTTGGAACTCAGGGCCGAATCTGTCACTCGCACTGGGAGCCATCAGACTGCTCAATAGCTGAGCGCAGTGAAAGCAAAGGAAGGAGTGTGTGCTTTGCTCTCTGCCTCCCTCTAGAGTGCAGTACCCAGCTCTGTGAGTGAACAACGAAGTACTGCAACTTTTTATAGGGGTGTGTGTGTGTACATATGTGTGTGTGTATATTTGTATGCAAGTGTACATGTGTGTGTGTGTGTGTGTACATGTATCTGTGTGTGTGTGTGTGTGTACATGTATCTGTACATGTGCATATCTGTACATGTGTCTGCGTGTATGTACATGTATGTGTGTGTACATTTGTCTGTTTGTGTGTGTACATGTGTCTGTGTGCATGTACATGTGTGTATGTGTGTGTACATGTGTCTGTGTATGTATGTACATGTGTCTGTGTATGTATGTACATGTGTCTGTGTGTATGTACATGTGTCTGTGCGTGAGTATTTTGGTGTATGTACATGTGTCTGTGTGTATGTACATGTATGCGTGTCTGTACATGTCTGTGTGTGTATACATGTGTCTGTATGTGTGTGTGTGTGTACATGTGTCTGTGTGTGTACATATTTCTGTGTGCGTATGTACATGTCTGTGTGTACTGTTTGTGTGTGTGTATGTACATGTGTCTGTATGTAAACCTACATGTATGGGTGGTTTGGACAGGTTCAGGATGATGTGGTTATTATGGGTGGTAGAGTGTGGGGCATTTGAGGTACTGCTGGGTTGGATACTAGGTAGGATATGCTTGGTAGAGTTATGGTTTTGTGAGTGAAAGATTATGGGGGGTTATGGTTGTATGCGGTGCATGGTCTAAGTATGATGGAGTGTTTAGGAGGACATTGGAGGCCCTGATGTAATGTGGGGGGACTCTGGGGACCCTGATGTAATGTGGGTAACATTTAACAGTGTCATTTCATGACATAATTTATGAGGGCGTGTTTAGGGGGGAATTAGGGATGTAGCAAGGTAGGGGGTTGGGTGGGGCAACTGGGGGCGAGTAATTCTTAAGGCCTGGCTAGTAGCTCAGGACTTGAAATTTTAAGCCCTGGCATAGTCAATGCATAGAAATTCAGATGTATGGATGGAGATAGATGAGCTGGGTGCTGGTGCTGCTGGATTTTTATATATAACATTGTTTCCTGCAAGAGGTTGAAAAAGCAAATTAATATGCAGATCCACATCCAGTTAACATCAGAGGTCCTCTTGAGTGACCAATATACATGTTCAAAATATTAACATTCAATCTTGAAGGCAATATAAATTCAAAGCAGGATTATTAGCAACAACATGATTCTGTTCACTTTCTTGCGACAGCCAGCAAGTTTTTTTTTCTAGAGAGGTGATATCCTGATGCCTTCTACTGGCTATACTGCCATCTGCAGACTAAAATAGAAATATGGCCGGGGCAACAAGGCAGCAACAAAAATAATTACACTGCTCATAAAAATTAAAGGAACACTCTGAAAACACATCAGATCTCAATGGGGAAAAATATCATGCTGGATATCTATACTGATGTGGACTGGGTAATGTGTTAGGAATGTAAGGATGCCCCATCGTTTGAAGAAAATTAAAATGATCAACCTACAGAGGACTGAATTCAAAGACAAACCGACAATCAAAGTGAAAAAATGATGCAGCAGGCTAGTCCATTTTGCTGAAATTTCATTGCAGCAACTCAAAATGATACTCAGTAGTCTGTATGGCCCCTACGTGCTTGTATGTATGCCTGACAACGTTGGGGCATGCTCCTAATAAGAAGACGTATGGTGTCCTGGGGTATTTCCTCCCAGATCTGGACTAAGGCATGACTGAGTTCCTGGACAGTCTGACAAGAAACCTTTCGCTGTCAGATGGACGAAACATGATATCCCAGAGGTGTTCTATTGGATTTAGGTCCAGCGAGCGTGGGGGCCATTCAATGGTAGCAATTCCTTCATCCTCCAGGAACTGCCTGCATACTCTCGCCACATGAGGCCCGGGCATTGTCGTGCTCCAGGAGGAACCCAGGACCCACCAGGCTTAGGGTCTGACAATGGGTCCAAGGAATTCATCCCAATACCTAATGGCAGTCAGGGTGCCATTGGCTAGCCTGTAGAAGTCTGTGCATCCCTCCATGGATATGTCTCTCCAGACCATCACTGACCCACCACCAAAATGGTCATGCTGAACAATGTTACAGGCAGCATAATGTTCTCCAGGGCTCCTCCAAACCCTTTCACGTCTGTCACATGTGCTCAGGGTGAATCTGTGAAAAGCACAGGGCCACAGTAGTGGACCTACCAATTCTGGTGTTCAATGGCAAATGCCAATCGAGCTCTGTGGTGCCAGGCAGTGAGCACAGGGCCCACTGGAGATTGTTAGGCCCTCAGGCCACCCTCATGAAGTCTGTTTCTGATTGTTTGGTCAGAGACATTCACACCAGTGGCCTGCTGGAGGTCATTTTGTAGGGCTCTGGCAGTGCTCCTCCTGTTCCTCCTTGCACAAAGGAGCAAATACTGGTCCTGCTGATGGGTTAAGGACCTTCTATGGCCCTGTCCAGCTCTCCTAAAGTAACCGCCTGTCTCCTTGAATCTCCTCCATGCTCTTGAGACTGTGCTGGGAGACACAGCAAAACTTTTGGCAATGGCACGTATTGATGTGCCATCCTGGAGGAGTTGGACTGCCTGTTCACCCTCTGTAGGGTCCGGGCATCGCCTCATGCTACCAGTAGTGACACTGACCCTAGCCAAATGCAAAACTAGTGAAAAACAGTCAGAAAAGATGAGTAGGGAAAAAAATGTCAGTGGCCTCCACCTGTAAAACCATTCCTGTTTTGGGGGTCATCTCATTGTTGCCCATCTAGTGCACCTGGCAATTTCATTAACACTAAAGCAGCTGAAACTGATTAACAACCCCCTCTGCTTCTTAACTGACCAGATCAATATCCCAGGAGTTTAATTGTCTTGATGCTATACTCTGATTAAAAAGTGTTTAATTTTTTTGAGCAGTGTATATTCAGGTCCTTGCAACCTTTTGTGTATTCAGACTGTTCACTTGTCCTGTCTATTTCCTGTATGATTGATCCTGCCTACATCTAGTTAAACCAGGAGGCCAATATCTGGGAGTTTCAACCATCAAACACATACCTCCTTGCAGATTTTTCTGATGGAGTGAACATTTTTTGACTCTTCATTGCAGGAGAGCCCACATCAACCACTGTGGATACAGGGTTTTTTTTGCTAACCCATGATATATTATGAAAATAATCTATACCCATTAGAACAAAAATAAAAAAAAATACTTACCATGAGCTGGCCTGTGCTATTTTTAGGATCTGAGCAAAACGATCCACGAGAGGCAAACAGATGGGACCAAGAAGTAGTTCTAAGTTTGGCTGCATTAATTCTGTTAATCCTTTCATGAGGCTACTTTCACAGCAGAACACCTTGTTATGCGGTGTGATCATGTAGGGAACAAAGGTGTAGTTAGCAGTGCACATCTGTAAAGAAACCCAAAAGGTGTGTAAGTTATTTTTTCTTTATAAGATAATTGCTGGCATTTGCTTGATAAAACTAATATACAGGAATCCAGGGCAGAACTTGGAGCAAAAAACTGGTATTGCTTTTTAAACATATCAGCCTACATTAATGGGTATGACCAAACATGGCAAACAGTTGCGGAGAAACATGAACTGGCATCAGTGTAGGGCACATCAGGGCCCAAATACACAGCGGGAATAGGTTCTAGTAAATGCTGTTGGTGTATTAAAGGGTTATAATAGCCTGCACTGTATGTGATGATACAGAGGCTCTACCCACAAACCAGAGCTTCGGGCAGGAGAGGGGAGCATCTGAGCTTGCTGGAATGGGGAATTAAGTAAGTCTCTTCTGCAGCCCCTTAGACTTAATGAGAATCTAACCCTTGCAGTGAGGAGTACTCACTGCAAGCTTTTTTTATTTTGCCATAGTTGGGCTTTAACTCGGGCAGATACAAAACACCCTGTTCAATAGTACTCAGACTGGCAGAGGGAGAAGCAATACAAGGAGCCAAATGGTAGTTGCAGAGCTTGAGTACTAAACAGAACATACTAAAAGGAAGAGAAAGTGACAAAAGAGAAGAGCTCATTAGTCCGCTGCCTCTTCCTTCACTGCTAGTCACAGGGTGAGGTTGAGACAAGATCTGTAAGATTTACCTAACTGCAATAGAGAAGTATCAAATCTTCTGCCTTGCCAGACATGGCTGTGTTTTGTGGCAGAGCTGTGTAAAAATCAGAACTGGATGGATAGAAATACAAATCTTTTGGCAGGTAAAACAGCTCCCATATATGTATTTCATTTTTGTTTGTAACTGTGTCTGGTGTTCAGTTATAATTATTTTGTATAATAAATACATAATTACATTAAATTGAATTTCAGAGCTTTAACAAAACATGTATTAAGTTCACTGACTATAAACAGGTCATTACTCATCCTTTTTTGGTATCTACAGACTGTCACCCATACATTTTATAGACGCTGTAAATACGAATTGAGTAGATTGACATCATCTGTTAAATACACTTACCATTTTCATTTACAGAGTGCAGAGACTGTTGAAGAAAAGGTCCTATTGTTTACTAAACACAATAGCAAATTATAGTGAACTGACCTCTCACAGAGATTGCACAAGTGTCCTTTATTTCAAGTGCACTTTTTAGCAACTTTACAAGTCTGTAGGAATATATTCCAAACATGTCTCAATATTCACAAATAGTATAATTTTACAAAAGAGCTGTAACTTTTGCCTAGGCTGAAAAATGTCATCAGTCTGCTGCAGGAAGGAGGAGACATTTCCTCAGTCTACTCTCCTTCACTGATCATGCTGCTATGCTGGAACTCTGTAGCAAATCACAATTTGAGAGGCTGCAACAGGGACTGATCTGTGTCAGACATTTGTCAACACAGTCATACACTGCACAGGCAGCATAATTTACATTATTTTGTCATCTCTGAACCAGCATCTTAATCCAGGAAGATGATGACCCTGCAAAATGCCTTTCATTCTGGAGAGAAAATTAGATGATGGCAGGGAGGAGTACTGTGATCTTATGATTGCATTAGGTGGCAGTCATTACATTGCCGTTTCTCCTCTCTATCACGTTCATAGAACATCTTGTATTCAATGAAAAAAAACAAGGAGGTCTGAGAATGGCAGCCATGCTGAGTGAGCGGCACCCTGAGTTCACTATGCAGAAGGGCAGCCGCTTGGCACAGAATCCAGAATCCTGCAGCGATCACTGTATTAGCACTAGTTACTACAATGATTCTCCGCTTCCACAGCAATCCTACAGGTATGGAATGTGTATACCCTTATTGGTCTAAGCTGGACTAATGTAACTATACAATAAAAACTATACCTGGAGTTTTGGTTTAATATAAAAAAACCCTGCCCCACTTTAAAAGTCAACT